TAGCTTCAAGTGTGGCTTCAAACATATTCACCGCGCCACCTTGTTCAGCTACGACACAACCTGCTTTACCCAGGCCTTAACTTTGATTCATCTTCCTTCACATTTCAAGCACCATCTTTCCAAGTGGAACCTCCTCAGTTTCCTACTTATTCTTACCCGCAACCACCCCATATTGAGTTCACCGCGAGGCAAGAGAAGACCACCAAAACTCCTGAGCAAGAAGAGATTGTGAGGAAAATGAGGAGTATGGAACAAAGTCTCAAAAGCATACAAGGCTTGAGTGGACAGAAAAGTGTATCCTATGCCGACTTATGCATGTTCCCTCATGTGCACCTACCCTCATGGCCTATTTCGGAGAAAGTCTGGTGGGCATCGCATCTGAGTGGTACATGGACCAGGATATATCCCGTTGGTACATCTGGGATGATCTTGCTAGAGATTTCGTCAGGCAGTTCCAATACAACATTGATATTGCTCCAGATAGGAACTCATTGACAAACTTGAAAAAGAAATCCTCAGAAAGCTTCCGAGAGTACGCAGTTAAATGGTGTGAGCAGGCATCCAGGGTAAAGCCTCCGATAGATGAGGTTGAAATGGTCACAGTTTTCCTTCAAGCTCAGGAAGCTGACTACTTCCAGAATATGATGTCCGCAATGGGTAAATCGTTCGCTAAAGCTATCAAGATTGGCGAAATGGTTGAAAATGGGTTAAAAACGGGTCGAATTCTAAGCCAATCCGCTATCAGAGCTACCTCCCAAGCCATTCAGGGTGGGTCTGGAGGAATAGCAAAGGGAAAGAAAAGGGAAGAAACATTCATGGCAGTGTCGGGTGCAAGGAGAAACAGTACTCCCAGATCCCTTTTCTCAGAAAGGACCCCGCAACACTATTACCCTCACCAAGATTTGGCCTATACTCCTCAGCCATACTCGGTCATGAATGCTCAGCCTTATGTCCGGCCACAACAACAAGCCAACAGAAATCAAGTTCCATTTCCTAGAAACCAACCTCCTTACCAAACCCACTACAACCCCCGTCCTCCACAAAATAATTTCCACCCTCATGAACCGCCCAAGAGGCCAAATTTCACACCAATTGGCGAAACCTACTCCATCCTGTTACCAAAGCTTGTTCAAATGGGTCTGCTACAGCCTGTTCCTCAAACTAGACAAAACCCAGCATCACCCGCTTACAGAGCCGGTACCCGATGCGCTTATCACTCAGGGGCAGAAAGGCATGACACAGATGATTGCTGGACTCTAAAGAGAGCCGTGGAGAACTTGATAGGACAAAGAAAGATAGTGCTAAAGGATTAAGATGTTCCTAATGTGACCAACAACCCACTGCCAGCCCACAACAACGGGCCGGTAATTGGAATGATTTGTAAGGATAAGGAATTTGACCCAGCATTGAAGGCCATCATTGCCATTGCTGACAAAGAAAAGAAACCAAAAGCTGCCTCGAAGCAAGATAAAAGGGAGATAAAGAAAGAAACCACCCCTCCAAAGTCAGAGAAGAAAATTGAAGTTGAGACCGGGGCAACGCCTCCCAAAGATGTTGTTCTCCACATCCCTCAAGGCCGTAAAGAAAAGCAGATGACATTGAGTCCTCTCAGGAGATTTGAGTTGAATAAAACAACCCAGATGTATGTTCCCAAGGGGGTTTATGTGATGCAGGGGCCAATTAAGCCATCGAGGCTGAATGAGCTAGTGGTTATTGGACGCGCGCCACAGAAGCCCATGAAAGATCCTACTGCTGTGCCCTGGAACTACAAAACGGTGGTGACCTATAAAGGCAAAAAAATCCCAGGAGAAGTTCAAGAAAATAACCCTGTTGAAAAGTATTCCAATTAGGAAGAGTTGAACAATGCTACTAGAAAGCGCTTCCCACTTAAGAAGCCCGTGAGTGCCGAAGAAGCAGAGGTTTTCTTCCAAAACATGAAAATGACAGATTATGAGGTGATTGACCAACTTCGCAAATTTCCCGAACAAGTCTCCTTGTTGGCTTTGTTGATGAATTCCGCTGAACATCAGAAGGTATTGATCAAGACCCTTAACGAAGCATATGTGCCTGTTGACATTTCTGTAGAGCAGTTGGAGAGAATGGCAGAAAGATTTTTCGCAATCAACCAGATCACTTTTAGAAAAAATGATTTACCCTCAGAAGGGGCCGCACATAACAAAGCCTTGCACCTAACAGTCAAATGCAAAGGGCACTACGTGAAAAGGGTGATGTTGGACGGAGGCTCTGGAGTAGACATTTTCCCACTTTCGACTCTACAGCGCATGGAAATTGGGACCAAAATAATCCGACCCAACAATGTATGTGTACGTGCCTTTGATGGCATCAAAAGGTACATAATTGGAGAGATCAATCTAATTCTGACCATTGGCCCAGTAGACTTTGAAATAACCTTCCAGGTTCTAGACATGGACACATCCTACAACTTTCTTTTGGGGAGGCCATGGATTCATGCAGCGGGGGCTGTACCCTCTACTCTTTATCATATGGTGAAGTTCGAGCATAAGGATCAAGAGATAGTGGTCCACGGAGAAGATGAGCAATCAATTTATCGGGACCCATCAGTCCCATGTCTTGAAGCAAGAGAGGGGAGTGAGCACATAGTTTATCAGGCTTTTGAAATTATGGTTGCAGACCAGTACAAAGAAGGAAAACCTTGCCTCCAACCTTCCTTTCTAATGCATCAATCATGGTGGCCAAAAAAATGATCCGACATGGCTTCAAACTGGGGAAGGGACTTGGGAAATCATTGCAAGGGATAGTTGAACTTATCACCCTGCCCACCAGTGAAAAGTTCTTCGGGGTAGGCTTCCGACCCACTCCAGCTGATATAAGATGGGCAGATGATAGAAAGAATGATGGTTGGGTCTTGCCTCAGCCAGTTCCGCATCTGTACAGAACATTTGTCAAGCCAAAATACCAGAAGAAAGAAGAAGATGAGGCTTTTACTGCCGAAGAGATTGAAGAGACCTGTGGGGCAATAAGGAAGATACTATTTGAAACCCACATGGTCCAGCCAGGGGAGGGCTCAAGCACCGCTGAGGTGCTATATATGGGACCCAATGCCAAGCTGCAGAATTGGAAGGCTACGCCATTCCCAATCAGGCGGGAGTCCCGGTAGACCTGTCCTGCCACTTTTTCTGCATCACGAGTTATTTCAGGGTGTAACTCGGATGTTTTTCTTTTAGTTTCCTGTCTTTAAATACTAATGTGAACCCTGTTATCTTCATAATTCAATGAAATGAAATTAATATTTCATCGTTCATCTCTCTTTATTCTTTCTGATTTTGTTACTTTTTCTTATTTCTTCTTTCAGTTCTAATAATGCGGCTTTAAATAACATGACATGCTTGCGGACTTCATGTCCATATCCAAACACGTTGTCTAACTGCGAAATAATGAACCAAGAACTGGAATATGATGAAGAAGAGGCTTTTAAGGAAATAAATCGAGGATTGGAACAATTTGAGAATAAACCTAAGCCAAACTTAAATGAAACCGAGCCAGTTAATTTGGGTAGCTCTGAAGAAGTCAAAGAAACCAAGATAAGCATTCATACAGATGAAAGAACCAGGGACGCATTGATCCAACTTTTGTTTGAATTCAAAGATGTGTTTGCTTGGTCATACGATGACATGCTAGGATTAAGTGTCGATTTAGTGGTCCATAAGTTGCCAACCTACCCCGATTATTCCCCTATCATCCCTGTTCATAACTGCGCCAAACATGAAATACAGTCTTTTGTGGATTGTTACACAGGATACCACCAGGTGTTAATGGATGAAGAAGATGCAGAAAAGACAGCTTTTACCACGCCTTGGGGCACTTACTGTTATAGAGTCATACCATTTGGTCTGAAAAATGCTGGGGCAACCTACATGAGGGCCATGACTGCTATTTTTCATGATATGATGCACCAAGAGATAGAGGTGTATGTGGACGATGTAATCATCAAATCCAAAACCCAGGACGACCACGTTTGGGACTTGAGAAAATTCTTTGGGCGGCTGTGCAAATATGATTTGAAGCTGAACCCAGCCAAATGTGCATTTGGAGTACCATCCGGTAAACTCTTGGGATTCATAGTCAGTCGGAGGGGCATCGAGTTAGATCAAACAAAGATAAAGTCTATTCGGGATTTGCCTCCTCCAAGAACCAAGAAAGATGTTATGAGATTTTTGGGAAGATTGAATTACATCAGTCGTTTCATTGCTCAGTTGACCTCCACGTGTGAACCCATATTTAAGTTGTTAAAGAAAGATGCGGCAATCAAATGGACAGTTGAATGTCAAGAAGCTTTTGATAAAATCAAGGAATATCTGTTAAATCCGCCAGTCTTGGTCCCGCCTGAGCCAGGGAGGCCTCTGTTCTTGTACCTGACAGTCTTGGAAAATTCTTTTGGCTGTGTCCTCGGGCAACATGACGTGACTGGAAAGAAGGAGCAGGCCATTTACTATATGAGTAAGAAGTTTACTAGTTACGAAGCCAAGTACACTTTATTGGAAAGAACTTGTTGTGCGTTAACATGGGTCGCTCAGAAGCTGAGGCATTATTTACAAGCTTACACCACCTACCTCATAACCAGGTTGGATCCTTTAAAGTATATATTTCAGAAACCAATGCCCACTAGGAGATTAGCAAAGTGGCAGATCTTGCTCACAGAGTTTGACATAGTCTATGTCATTCGCACGACAATGAAAGCCCAGACATTAGCGGATCATTTGGCTGAGAACCCGATTGATGATGAGTACCAACCTTTGAGAACTTACTTCCCAGATGAAGAAGTAAATTTAGTTGAGGCAATATCTGAAGACACTCATGCTTGGAAAATGTTCTTTGATGGGGCGGTAAATGCAAAAGGTGTTGGAATTGGGGCATTTTTGATCTCACCCACTGGTCAGCACTATCCATCCACAGCTCAGCTTCAGTTCTTCTGTACAAACAACATCGCCGAGTATGAAGCTTGCATTATGGGTATAAACATGGCAATCGACCAAAATGTCGAAGAGTTGTTGATCATGGGAGACTCAGATCTGATTATCCGGCAAGCCCTAGGAGAATGGGAAACCCGAGATGTTAAGCTTATCCCTTGCAAGAAGCATGTGGAACACCTCAGCAAGCGATTCAAGTCAATAGAGTTCAGGTACATTCCCCGTTGTCACAACGAATTAANGCAATTTTGATCTCACCCACTGGTCAGCACTATCCAGCCACAGCTCGGCTTCGTTTCTTCTGTACAAACAACACCGCCAAGTATAAAGCCTGCATTATGGGTATAAACATGGCAATCGACCAAAATGTCGAAGAGTTGTTGATCATGGGAGACTCAGATCTGATTATCTGACAAGCCCAAGGAGAATGGGAAACCCGAGATGTTAAGCTTATCCCTTACAAGAAGTATGTGGAAAACCTCAGCAAGCGATTCAAGTCAATAGAGTTCCGGTACATTCTTCATTGTCACAACGAATTAGCTGACACACTTGCTACTTTGGCCTCAATGCTGCCGTATCCAGGCAATGCTCGCATAGATCCCTTGGAAATTCAAATCCGGGAAAGGCATGGTTATTGTAATACAATTGAAGCAGCACCAAATACCCAACCATGGTACCATGACATCAAAAAGTTTCTGAAAACTCAAGAATACCCCGAGCAAGCCAGTGGAGACCAAAAGAGAACCATTAGACGGCGCGCAAATGGTTTTTTTTGAGTGGGGATGTCTTGTACAAGAGAACTCCGGACCTCAATTTGTTAAGATGTGTTGACGCAGAAGAGGCTGGAAGAATCATGCATGAGGTACACGCGGGAGTATGCGGGCCCCACATGAACGGGTACGTTTTAGCAAAGAAAATCCTTCGAGCGGGTTATTACTAGATGACCATGGAAAAGGACTATTTTAGTTTCGTTCGGAAGTGTCAGGTGCACGGTGATTTGATTCATGCACCTCCCACAGAACTGCATCCTATGTCTGCACCTTGGCCATTTGTTGCCTGGGGCATGGACGTCATTGGGCCAATCGAGCCAAAAGCCTCAAATGGGCACAGATTCATACTAGTTGCCATTGACTACTTTACAAAATAGGTTGAGGCAATCACTCTCAAGTCTATCACCAAGAAAGCTGTGGTAGATTTTGTGCACTCCAATCTTATCTGCCGTTTTGGCATTCCTGCAACTATTATCACAGACAATGCTGCAAACTTGAATAGTCATTTGATGGGGGAGATATGTGAGTAATTCAAAATAATGCACCGTAACTCTACTCCTTATCGGCCTAAATGCAATGGTGCCGTTGAAGCAGCAAACAAAAACATCAAAAAGATTTTGAGAAAGATGATTCAAAGTTCCAGGCAGTGGCATGAAAAGTTGTCGTTTGCATTGTTGGGATATTGTACTACTGTGCGCACATCAATTGGAGCCACCCCGTATCTTTTGGTTTATGGCACGGAAGCCGTAATACCCGCCGAGGTTGAAATCCCCTCTCTCCGAATCATTGTTGGAGCCGAAATTGAAGACAGTGAGTGGGTTAAAACCCATCTGGAACAATTAACCTTGATTGACGAAAAGCGAATGGCTGCGGTCTGCCACGGGCAGTTGTACCAACAAAGAATGGCTTGTGCCTAAAACAAGAAAGTGCGGCCTAGAAATTTTGAAGTGGGGCAACTCGTTTTAAGGCGTATTCTTCCCCATCACCAGGAAGCAAAAGGAAAATTCGCTCCTAATTGGAAGGGACCATACGTCATCAGAAAGATATTGCCGAGGGGAGCATTGTATCTGGGCGATATCGAAGGAAATGATCCTGAAGCAGCTGTAAATGCGGATGCAATCAAAAGGTACTATGTTTAGTCTTTCTGTAACAACAACATTGTTCGATTGGGAGGACGGAGGCTTTATTTCTCGTTACCCAAACACTATCTACCCTTTGCAAACCTGTTTGTGCCGGTTACTCTTCTTTGATTGCCCTCTTTGGAATTTGAAAGTGTTGAAAAAAAAGAAAAAAAAAGAAGAAGATGTTTTTCCTGAACTACGTTCGACTTGATTCCGAAAGGATACGTAGGCAGTCTCTTTATGGGGTTCAGTCCCACCAAAATAAAAATCCAAATTCCCTCAAAAATGAAACTAGGGCAGATGTTGTAATGGTCCTGCGATAATCCCGCTTGAATTGTTCCAAAGTTGTAATTCGATCCAAATCATTTTTACCCAAATCCTTTCAAGTCCTTTCGATCAATCAGTGAGAATTTTCAAGGATTAGAGGATACAACTACTTGGATCCGATGCAATAAAAATGAGAGAAATAAAATAAGAGAGTCTTATTGGTGAAAACCCACACGGGCACCATAAGGCGACGGTGAGCAGAAAAATTGAAAATGAGAGAGCCTGTTTAGTGAAAACTCGTAAAGAGTGCTATCAGGCGACGGTGAGAAGAGAAATGAGAGAGGTCGATTGGCGAAAACCCGTAAAGGACGCCGTCGATCGAAAAAAAGACACCCCCACCACTGAAAGAGTCCTGGCCAAGTTTCTCGATTTTGAGATATGGTTCACAATGACTTGGATAGTTGTGCATATCGGGTATCTAGTCCAAGAAGCATGTCATATCTATTGAAGTCTGCATGCACCCCAGATAAGTCCTTCTTTTCCCCAAAAGGGACGCTTCTCCTTAAATTCATTTTTTCTTGTCCTTTCTTTACTTTTCCTTGAATCCCTTTCGGTCTAACTCTATTCCAAAACTAATACGAAGAAGGGTGGCAAGATTGGTTTTACAGGGTTTTGTTTAATAAAGCCAAGTACAAAGAAAAGTACCCAGCCTTAGTGGGTGCATCTAGTCGATCCCAACTGGCCATGATAGCCGATGCTCTGAAATCAGAGTTATTGAAAATGAAAAGAAATCCAAAGTCAAAAGCCCCTAGAAGCAGATTAAAATGAAAGGGTCAAAGCCTTATACGGTTGAGCCGTCATGATAAATTTTGAAAAGTTGAGTTCCTCGGTTTTAGGAGAGAAACCAATCTTTAAGAAAAGCCAGCAAGCGGCAGAGGTTCTCGCCAAAAGAGTTGGGCCGAGATCAAGTGATCAAAAACAATGAAGGCCACAAAACCGGCCACCGTTTCAAACTAACAATTGTTCTTTGTTTGAAAATTGAAACAGGTTCAATCCAAAGCAACAATGCAAGAAGCAGGTGTAACCAAAATGGAAAAAGAAATGTGCAAGCACTAGAAATGTCTTAGCAACAATAATCAACCCAAAAGGGAAGTCTCATCGAAGTCCTTTCCTGCATTTTTTTACTAAAAAATGAATGAAAAGAAAATAGATAAGAAGAAAAACAAGAAAAAAAAAAGAAAAAAAAGGGTAGTTTAGAAGCCCCAAAATCAATCTTTTGCCTTTTTGCCGACATTAGGGCTCCAATCCCTAAGTTGAGGTTTTAGACATAGGGCCTCCATTCCATAGTCGCTTTTACCAATATTAGGGCTCCAATCCCTAAGTTGAAATTTTAGATATAGGACCTCCATTCCCTAGTCACCTTTGCCAATATTAGGGCTCCAATCCCTGAGTTGAGATTTTGGACATAGAGCCTCCATTCCCTAGTCGCCTTTTGCCAACATTAGGGCTCCAATCCCTGAGTTGAACCTTTTTAGACATAGGGCCTCCATCCCCTAGTCACCTTTGCCAACATTAGGGCTCCAATCCCTGAGTTGAGATTTTAGACATAGGGCCTCCATTCCCTAGTCGCCTTTTACCAACATTAGGGCTCCAATCCCTGAGTTGAACCTTTTAGACATAGGGCCTCCATTCCCTAGTCACATTTCGCCAATATTAGGGCTCCAATCCCTGAGCTGTGCCTTTTAGACATAGGGCCTCCATCCCCTAGTCGCCTTTAGCCAACATTAGGGCTCCAATCCCTGAGTTGAACCTTTTAGACATAGGGCCTCCATTCCCTAGTCACATTTCGCCAATATTAGGGCTCCAATCCCTGAGCTGTGCCTTTTAGACATAGGGCCTCCATCCCCTAGTCGCCTTTAGCCAACATTAGGGCTCCAATCCCTGAGTTGAGCGTTTCCTTAGCCGATATTAGGGCTCCAATCCCTGAATTGAGCGATTTTCCTTTAGCCGACATTAGGGCTCCAATCCCTGAGTTGAGCGATTTTTCTTTAGCCGACATTAGGGCTCCAATCCCTGAGTTGAATGTTTCCTTGGCCGACATTAGGGCTCCAATCAATGAGTTGCACCTTTTAGACTTGGGGTTTCCAATCCCCTCATCAATTCCGCAGATTTTTATGGCAAATAACTCACGAAATTTTCCTAGTGATACTGGGGCAGAAAAATTTCGTTCGTTTGTTTGTTTTTTGTCTGAGCAGGTTTTACCTCGAGGCACAGGGATCGAGATGACCGATGGAATGAGCCTCCATCCAGAATAAGGAAAAGAATAAAAGAACAAAAAAGAAGATGAGCTCCAATACCAGAGCAAACAAAGGTGCGGATAGCCCGAAATTTGATTGAAGTCATGAGCTCCGCCAATCCCGTTTCCCTCAATGCTTGCAAAAATTAACAAGCGCCCACCACTTGCGAGCATCAAGATTCAGATCAAAGTCTACAAGCAAGATCATCTAAGACTCAAGATCAAGTTTAGAAAGAATTATGGATAGAGATATTGTACCTCATGGTTGATAGGCATAGCTAGCTTAGTTTTAATTTTCCTTTGGTGTAATAAGGAGGTCGGTAAAGCAGTAGTAACAGCATACAACAGCAGTAACAGCAAAATTGCAGTCACATGGTAGTCCCAGCTACCAAAACTTCCCGAACTACATTGACCTGATTCCTGTTTAGCCTAGGATATGTAGGAAACTTTTAAAGCAAAGGTTCGGTCAAATATTTCAAAAAAAAAATGCTTCACACGGAGTACTCGAACATGCAAAAAATGCTCGTATTCGCTCACTTTATCTTTGCACGAAAATCCTGCGTGTTTTTGAACAAAGAGAAGCAGTTGTGAGCACGTGATTTTTGATCTCACGACAATTACTCCAAAAGAAATCAAAAAATAAAACAAATTGTCTTTGTGTATAATTTTTAGAATTTGCGTGGCATTTCGGATAGTTATTTGTAGTTTTGTCTGTGATTGTTTATTTTTAATTAAAAATACAAAAATATGTTGCATGAATTTAGGATTTTATTCTGCTATTAGGAATTAATTAAATCATATTTGGTTGTTTCTAAAAAAAAAAGAAAAATGAAAATCACAAAAATATTATTTTTGGTAATTTTGTCATTTTTATTGTTTAATGGTGTGATTTTGTTTAATTAATATTTGATATTGTGTGTTAATCATTGTTAAGAATCAATTAATGTCTGTGTAATATAATTGTTGTTTTATAATTTATTTTAGGATTTTGGTAAATTCGGAATTAAACTAGGAATTAAAAAGGAAAGGAATAAAAAATAGAAAAGAATCTTGGATTGGGCCATTTCATTTTGGGCCAAAATCAGGCCCAAACGAGACCTATACCCGGTCCAAACCTTCAGCTCTCAAAGACGCATCAAACGACGTCGTTTCGAGACCAGCGAATCTCGACCGTTCATCCATCCTCATCCAACGGTCCAAGACCTCACCCCATAACCCGACCCGTTTTCCCTGGATCGACCCAGTCCCCCACTGAGACCAAAACGACCCTGTTTTATATAAGTGAAGTGATCCAAACCGTTGATCTCATCAGATCTAACGGCTTGGATTCACTCACCCATCACATATATATATTTTCAAACACACCCCACACCCTCCTAAGCTACCCCCCCTCTCTTCGTCTCTCTCAACAAACCAGACGACCCAAAGAACCCTAGCCAGCCGCCACCCCTCCCCTTCGCCTGAAACCTGGCGGCGGCAACGCCGGTGACCACCAAAACGATACCCCTGAGCCATCTCCCCATCCACAACACGAATCCATGAACCATTTGCCTCGAATCACCCCACATCTTCTCGAATCTTCAATCGAAGTTTCGAGCTAACCCTGAAACCACCCTAATCCACCCCTAATTAACACCACACCACCACTAGGCTTCCCTCATCCCTAAACCATCAACAGATTCCCTCGAATCTCGTTGGATCTTCTCGAATCTTCGATCAAAGATCTCCCCTCCAAGCCCTAGCCTGTCCCCTTGACCCCAGACTAACACCTAATAATCCCCTTTACCTCCTCGTCCTTAATCCCTAAACAAATTGGCTCGAACATGAGTAAAAACCGTCGAATGACGGATCTAGGGTTCAATGGTTCAAGACGTGTCAAAGCTTCAGGGTCGATTGGGTTTTATTCAGTATTGTAGGCCTATTTCTCACGAAATAGACGTATAATACTGACTAGGACTCAAGTTCGAAAGGGCATACTGGTAAAATCCGAGAAAAAACAGTAAGTTCTTAATTTCTTTTGTTTCCTTATATAGTTTTGTTTGTCTGTTTTAAATTGTATCTTTGTTTTGATTTATTTCTTGTCATTTGTTCAGTACTTCTCTCCTTCTCATCAGACCGTTTATTGGGTCCAAGTTCTCTAATTGTTGGTTACATGCTGTAAACTATTTGGTCAATTTATTGATTAGTTCGTTATGTGTGAGTTAGTTTAACCTGATAGTAGTTTTAATCCTGGTCTTGATTTCATAGTCCATTTCAGTAGGTTTTTTTTGTTGTTTTGTTTAAATAATGTATGTTAGACTTTCTGGCATTGGTTCAGGTTTGTCCCATATATGTGATGTGTGGCTCTTTGTTCTTTGATGTTCATCAATTTTCGTATAAGTTCAGTATATCGCAGGATTTCCTTCACTCTATTTAGCTTAATTTGGAATTATGAATTTAATTAATCATTCCCATAATGTGTCACTGGTGATTGGAAGTTTGACCTGGATAGTTCAATAGGGTTGTGTTCTGATTCATGGTAATGCTGTTATTGGGTCTTCTGTTAAGTATCAATGAATTTTGATTCAGCTTTAGCTTTAGCTTCAATGTTCTGTTAAGCTCCTTTGTTTGTTGATGTGATTTTGGTTTGAAGTCAGTTTATTTGTTTCATTTAGGAGTCAATTTAGTTAGTTATTAGGTTTTGAATTGGTTATAGCTGATGATGTACAGTAGGGAACCCTAGGGTAAATAACAGTGGGGTCTCAGGGGTAATTTGTTAAGTTCAAAGGTTTGAAATGGTCATTTTAAGTGGTCTGTCTGTTAGAGTACTCAAATACCTTTAAACTAATAAATTATTTAAGTAATAGTGGGGGACAAACATAATGGGGAGGTAAAGGGATGGATTAAACAAATAGGTACCCATCACTTTGAATTAAAAATGACACAAGACACTTGATAGGGGGTGGGCCTAGTTAGCTTTCACTAATTTGAAATTAGCAATAGTAAGTAATAATAAAAGGGTAAATAACCCACATAGTTAGAAGAATATATTGGCTGGAAAGTAAAAGAGATAAAAGGGCTAGTAATAATAGGTTAAAAGTAAAAGAAATGGGCTGAAAAAGGGGACTGCCTTTGGTATAAATAGAGGTCATTTGGGACTAATAAAGAGGACTGAAATTTGAAAAAGGATAAAAAGTTCAGATTGAGAGAAATTTTTCGGGAGTTAAAAACACAAAGAATATTAGTGATTTTTAATCAGTCTGTGAGAGTTTGAGTTTGAAGTTTGGTCTTTGAAATCAAATTCAGGAATCAAACTCAAAAGGGTTTATTCTTAGACATATAAGAGGAGTTCACTTTCAGTTTTTTTGGGGTCAGTGTATGAGAGATTGCTGCTGTTTTCAATTGGGGTCCATTGGTTGATGTCCAGTTGAGTTTGGGTTTATTTGAGTAGTGTCGTTCGATTTCTAAACACTCTTGGTTTCTATATGTGTTTCTGGGTTCAAGCTTGACATAATTTGGGGTTGTTGAGTTCAAATTGCTGCTGTTAATCTTCCCTGCCTCGACTGACTCTTTTTCTTCATTGTAATCTCGAATCCAGGTATACTCTTGTCTCCAGTTGAATGTGGAATCTTGGTTCAAGTGTATAAATGATCCAGAAAGTCAATGACAAGGAACTTTGTTAATCTGAATCTATTGAGAATTGTTGTAGTTTTAATACTCCAATTAGATTACTTATGTTGTCAAGAACTATATTGAACTACTAGACTGATTTTGGGTTAAGTTAACAATTAGTTTGGTTTGGTTCACATTGATAGTGTAATGCATGATTTTAGTAGGCTCCTGGGTGTATTCGAATGAACTGTATGAGACTGTATTTGGACTAAAAAAAATGGATTTCGAGTTAGCTAGATCATGTGAATTATTGGATTGTTAAGTATTAGATCCTCCTTTGTAGTTCGTCATTAAACGATTGCATGGTTAGTAATAAATAGCAGACAGTTAGAACAACGTGAAGTAATTGATTATGTTATCATACGTCAAGCCCAAGTTAAGTATTAGACTAGTAAATTTAGTTCGAGCTAGTATCAAACTAGTTAGCCTGTGCTGAGTAATTAATCTCCAGTAGGAATAAATAAATACACATCATTATTCCATGCGTTCAATTATCAAGTGCATATAGCAATAGCGTGAAATAACTGAGCATGCCGTCATTTCTTTTTTTTTTTTTTTTAAATTTGAAATCTGTTTGGTAAGAATCAAGGATCAGTAGCTAATTAAAAGTCTTGAAGTGGGCCTATTAAATACCTTTCTCGTTTGGGCAAATTTTAAGGCCCGCGCTCGAACAGTCTTCGTTAATGGACCATTGTTTCAATTCATATTCTTCGGTCTTACTTTTGAGCCCAATGACACGTTTATTTTAAAACTATTGCTTGGCCCGTATTAGACCAGAAACATTTTAATTAGGATATTTTCTTTTTTAGAGACAAAACAAAAAATAAAAAAAATCATAGTTGCTTTTAGGCTTGCCCTTTTAAAAATAAAATGAGTCGAGCCTCGCCCAATAAAACGCACATACTGCGGGGCCCTCATAAATGTATATATTAAAAATACTTAGAATTCGGGATGAGCCGTTTAGCGAATTTCACAGCCTTCCTCAAAGATAATAACGTGTTAGTCTCTTTAGGCATGTTTTAATAATATTACTTTTTCCTAAATTAGGGTGCGCATTTATGTGACCCAAATTCAAATCTCAACGAAGTCGAAATATGTTGACAACCACGGGTGCATTGATTGCAACGTGGTTCGGGACACGTTTTCACGACGTTGCAATTCTCTAAAAAATAATAATAATAGCGGTTTAAAGTTAGTAAAAGCACATAAGTTATAACATGTATTAAAATCAAATATTTAGCCATTACAACAATTTAAGCGACCGTGCTAGAACCACGGGATTCGGGGGTGCCTAACACCTTCCCTCAGGTCAACAAAATTCCTTACTTAGAATTTCTGGTTCGCAGACTTCAAAAGGAAAGTCGAATATTTTCCTCGAATTAGGATTCAAGATAAACCGGTGACTTGGGACACCAAAAGCCAAACCTATCCCAAGTGGCGACTCTGAAATAAATAAATAATCCAATTTTCGAATAATATCACTTAAAATTGAAAAACTCCCACACGAATTTATCATTCAGGGTAGGTGCGCAAAAAGGAGATGTGACACTGTGCAATTGTGGGCTGTAGTAGGCTACCTAGGTTGAGGTCCATGCAAGTTGGCTAGGACTCAACACTCATAATAAAAACGATGTCATTAATTATTGACTTACAACATGCTCCCACTAACTCAAAGTAGTTTTTAAATCACTGGAAAGTCAAGTCAGAGTAATTTGTACTCTGTCACACCATGATGAAAAATAACGGGATAATTGTTCTATCCTGAATTCACGAGAAGATATTGTGTTCCCTTGGAACAATGACAGGAAATTCAATGGTCAAAGGAGGGAGTCTGATCGCATGAAGAAAAAGACTTTCTGGATCAGTGACCGGGCAATGTTCAGATGAGGGACTCCATATCTAACATGCCCGGTCAAACTCAAGATAGTGGAGCGACTTGAGTTTGAACCACCGGGAAGTTAAGGCAATATGGTAAGGAGGTAGTGTTGTTGAAGAAGCTTTCAGACTGCAGCCTTTAGTAACATACTGAAAAAGTTTTTCCATCTTTTTTTCCTCACCTTCAATCATAAGCAGTTCATTCTTGTGGCTGGATAGTTGAAAGCTGATGTCATTTAATTCCCTACAAAGACTCTACCTGTTGGGTATTTCATAAGTAGGAACACTGATTTCACTTCTTCAACTTGTTGTATTGGCATTCTGTTGATTTCATTTTTCTTGAGATGGTCATGTTCATGTCCTGATGCACCGATCCATAGGTGTGAAACTATGGTGAAGGAAGACATTAAAATGATGGGCAGACCTAAAATCACATGAAAGGAACTTGTCTCGAGAGACCTACAAATTCTTGTAGTGTAGGTTGCATTCCTCCATGCCGCTTATGAATGGTGTATCATTTGGTTATGAAATTATAAGGCCTTTGGGTTTCTTTCTTATTAAGTTCTCTTCCACTGTTCTTTGCACATCTGCTTGCCTTTGTCTACCTTATTTCCTCCTTCTTGACAGGTCTTGGTCATCTTACTTTTGTACTAACTCTATCTTACCTACAGGGAGGTCTTATGGTGACTAGAATGGCATATATGGCCAGGGAATATCAGAAGAAGCATTAGGCTGAAAAACCTGAAGTTGCACAAGCGAATCAAAGATATAAAGAACAAGCAAATGAGGTGTTTATGAGACTGTTTCTTCTAGAGCTGAAGAATGTTTCCAGTACTTGGGATTGGAAGCAAGAGAAGTCTCTCAAGCAGAAGAAGATAGCTTTCACTATGCATGAGGAGTGTCGTCAGGCTATCATGGATCATTTCAAGCGTTGAGTACTGTAAGAAGCAAAGAGAAGCCAGGGAAACTACCCCTGCAACAAGTGGCGGAGCCAGAATTTACATCAAGGGGTGTCTAATATAAATATAAATATAAATATATATATATCAAAAAATTTAGGGGAGTCAACATATAGTAAATATACATAAAATAGAAAAAATTATCTAGCAATACAATGTAATTTTCCGTTGTTGTTGAATGTGGCTCTGCCATTGTCTGCAACTTTGCATAGCATATAAGAGCTTAGACATAGTTATTAAGTATCAAAGAATTTGATGAAAGTTTATGTTGAAAAACATAGTATGCATAATTTGAGATAGTCATTTATGCATTTAGAAAGAACCACTTCTTTTAATCACGTGAAACATTTATTGCGCTCTAATGTTCTGGCAAGGAGCTTCCTCACGGTGAGCTCGCTATTTGCCTTAATCTATGTACTGTCTCCCTAGGCAGCCTGGTAGTGCTCCGTGGTATTGCCAAGCCATGCGAGCTAACCGTGGGGAGGCAGCTTTTTTGCTCGGACTTCAAATTGTGATGTTTTTGTTGCTATTTTGTCATTCCAACACTCTTCCAAATCATACCAAACGCCCATTATCACGCCTCCATCATATCACCTACATCATGGGATCCAGTTAACATATTTGTGACACTTTAATCATGTCATTAGATCGTAATTGACGTTTAAAAGTATGGGATCTATATTTTCTCCCACTTAATTAGGAACATTCATCCTTGAAGGTTAGACATGTCATTCTTAAGGCTACTATTGAACATAGACCTGCGTGCAAAATAATGTTAGAAACCGTAAGAAAAATTGGCCAAACACGTTATTGCTTGTCAGTACATCTTTGCAGTAAGTCTTCTTACTTATCTGTATATATAATAAGGCCTCGTTACAAAGACCTTTTAAGTTTTAAGTGTTGAAATTTAATATTTATTTATAGTATTATTTTTATATTTATCACTTAATAGAAAAAGATTAACGACCCGTTTACCATAGATTTTGCCAAAATATATTTGGTTTTTTTTTTTTTTTGGCAAATACATGTTTGGCCATAGATTTTATCTATATTTTGGCAAATTTCCAAAACCCAAAACCTAAATCCCAAAACCAGCTCAAAATATCACTATTATATTTTTTAAAATTGCCCCAAACTTTTGTATTTTATAAAAGAGTCCATCTTTTATTATTTTATAACAATGCTACTTCGTCTTCTCGGTCATCTGATAGTGTATTATGTAGTTCATTATAAAAATGATAATTTTGTACCAAATTTATTTATGTTCAGGACTATGATTTGCGATAATATAATAAATGTTATTGATAAAGGCACCATTGGGTATTTATGATAGTTTTTCACCATTGGGTATTTATGATAGTTTTTAGAACTTGCGGGTATAAGTCATGTTTCATGTTTTTTCACAAAAAAAAAAGTGAAATATGTTTTGAAAATTTATGTCCAAACACATTTTCATCTTCAAACCAAACTTCATTCAAATCAGATTTTGCAAAATAATTTTGGGAATCTATGACCAAACGTTAGCTAAGAGGCCTGAAATTTCAGGATGCTGCTTCGCAGCACTAAAGTTTTAGCCTTGTGAGCCAAAAATTTCCTTCTCTGTCTACTGTAAGAATACATATTCCTTTTGTGATTTAAATTCAATGTCTAGTGATTAACTAAAAATTTAGACACAACAATCTTGATTAATTAAAATTATTTATTATGTTTGAATCACATAAGGATATTAAGGACTAATGTTTAAGTGATCTAAGTATTTTTTCTAATAAAATTGCCACAACATCTTTGGTTGAATAAAATTTAAAGTTAAGGATATCATAAGGAAAAAGATATTGATATTGTAATTGATTATGCATAATATAATAACTTCAGAACTTTTATTATATTTTTGCATAATTGATTAGGATAAAATATTAAATGTTATTTCATAATTACCTACTGTCACACCTCTTTTTTCCGAGGGAATGTGGAGTTTTTTCCAATTAAAGTGACATTATTCAAAATGAAATTATTTATTTAATTTAGAGTCTCCACTTGGAATAATTTATGGTGTCCCAAGATAGCAGTTTATTTTAAATCCCAAATCGAGGAAATTTGACTCTTATTTATGTCTGCGAACACAAAAGACCGAGTAAGGAATTCTGTTAACCCGGGAGAAGGTGTGAGGCATTCCCGAGTTTCGTGAGTTTAGCACGGTCTCTCAACTAGTATTAATTGGCCTAATTAAGTGAATTATTACATGTTTAGAGCCTATTGTGCATTTTTTACTTTCTAACCGCTTTTATTTAACTGTTTTGAGTATTTATGGAATTTATTTGAACAAGTTGCGATGTCGCGCACTCATTTATTTTTGTACACATTGCGAATCGTGTCACGTGAAACGCACCCGCGATTTATAATTTATTATTATTTAAAGTTATGGTTGAGTCACGTAAAATACACACTCGAATTGGGATTATGCATCATGACTATGCTACAGGAATTGTACCCATAGTCACGATAATTTATTAGTCGCGCCTAAAGCAAGCTACGATGTTCATGAATAATTATTATTCCTAAGTTTGAGATCGATCATGAAGGTCCAAAGTTTATGGAAAAGCGTATGATAGTGCTTAACTAGACAACTTCAATTATTTAACAAGTTCAAATTAATATCTTTTGTTCTTCCTTCAATTAGCAAACCACTAATAATAAACTAAGTGGGTGTTCTTTTCTTGATTACTTATATCAAACATGGATTATTGCGAGAAAAATTATGGCAAGCCTCACTACGCTGGGCCTTCATATTAAACCTCCAATCAGGTCATGCAAACAAGAATAGAAATGGGTTCACTGGAGTCCGAAAGTGACTCTTGAAAATGGCTAGCCCTTTAAGTAGGCCAACAAATCTTTTGTGGGGACTTAAACCATTAATCCATACATTTGTCGAGTCCAAACTGACTCTCATTTCATACACGGTCCATCGATGTGTAGTTTTCTTAACGTGATTTTGAAAGGCACAAATCAATAAATACACATGTTTATACTACAACATATTCAACATATTGAAGAAACAGAACCAAAGAAGAACATAGCCACACATGTAATTTCTTCTAACAAACTACAGTATCATCCATTATTACATTCACAATTACCAAGATCTAGAGCATATAACAAATTTACATGCTTTCAGTTCCATATGACCTTCAACGAATGACCTTCAGCTATCCAAATTTCCTATGACTTTACCTGTTTCTCATTAAAGATTTAACCAAATACTTGATTTTTCCAGTAATTTCAGAGATTAAAGAAGGAAAGAACTTCAAATAGATTTAGACTTTAGACATGTTGAATCCAAACTATTGAACATAATTAGAGAAAGCAGTATCATAATCTTAACATGGAAATAATATAAAATGCTTAATAACTTCACATGCTAAGTCTATGCATTTGGCCATAATTATGACAAATAGATCGAATTTTCTCATATAGACTTCAAACAGGGGCAACAGATATGTGAACATACCTAAGTAACCAAAGAATAATAGAGAATGGTCAAAGGATGGTTTGAAAATGAAATAGGAAATCCAGCAAGTCCAGCAACAGTGGATTCAATAACTTCAACACCTCTATCAGCTCAATCGACTCAGAGAAAACCAGAAAATATAGTGATTGAATAGAAATCAGAAAACCAACTCTAGACTTCCTTCTTCATCCCTTTTTATGACCTTTTTCCTTGCCTTTTTGGGAGTTTTAAACTTTTTCTAAATCTGAAGACTAGAGGTTGAAATCCAGATTTTTGTTTGAATTAAAAAAAATGAGGAGAAGATAGTGAATTCTCTTAAAATTTCTCTCGACAGTGTGAAAATTAGTCTCAAAAACGAAGAAAAGAGTATGAATTTCAGAGTGTGTTTTCGTGTGTGTGAGTGAGTAATATATGGCCCTCTTATATAGAGTGTGAGAATATGTTATGTGCACACAAAAATTAGAGAATAATTCTGGAATGTCAGTCTCTAAATTTTAGGAAAAAAAGCATTTTTTTCAACTGAAAATTGACAGTTGTCCCTGTTTCTAGATAATTCTTTTTATTTCCTACCTTTTAGCTTCTGAAAATCACCTCTTTTAACCCAAAATGACCTAATTCTTTCATCTTATTGCATTTTAGCCCTTTTTCTAGAAGCTTCTTCTAAGCTTTCAACAGATGAAATTGTTCTCATCTTAATCAAACATGTACTGCCCTTCTTATGGGCAGTACCCAGACATCTGGGCTGCCTGGCCAGCAGACCCAACTCTTCAAGCTAAAAGCCATGTCCAATGGGCTTGCCTGTGAATACAGCATGCCCAACGTCTTAATAAAATACACCAATCAAATCTGCTAGTTGGCTGAATTAATCCTTAATCTAAATATGCAGTTAATTCTTAATCTAATCATGAAATTGATTCCCAATATAAGAAACAACAAATTAAGAGTTATTACCATACTATGTGAACTTGAAATTACTAAATACAACAAAAAGAAAAAGAAAAGAAAAAAAATGATAAACTAAGATATGGAATAATAAAATAGTGACTAACAAGGAAAGAAGATCAAGCTACCTACTGGCTCCAAGTGAAAAGAGTGAGAAGGAACTCCCCAAAACTGTACAGGCCCGAGCACGAAACGTCCGATTACTGCCTTGAACTTCAGCGGCTTCGAAACGAACTAAAACTGACATAAATCGATTGCTCTCGTCATGAGCAAACGATTCACGTAAGTTTGAGTCGAATCGAATCAAATATCAAAGATAAACAAGAAAAAAAAGAAAACAGTTAGGATTTTTGGGATTCTAAGATAAAAAATTTGTGAGATTTGAGTGGCTTTTTGGGGAAATTGATGAGGGGATAGAGATGAGGAGGGTGAGGATTATGAGGTGTTAATTTAGGGTGGTTTGGAGTGGCACTGTAACGATCTGACCGGTCGTTTTGAGCTTTTGCACTTTGCTCGCCAGTTCTCGGGCATGGATAGTCCCGTGTGATGTATTATCACTCATGTAAACCGTTGGTTTTGGTTTTCAGGGTAATCAGAATGAATTTTGAAGGACAGTTCTCAGTTTGAAGCTTGAAATTTGGAAGGTTTGACCGAGATTTGACTTGTTTGAATATGATCTTGGATAGGAGTTTTTATGATTTGGTTAGTTCTGTTAGGTTATTTGGGACTTAGGAGCGTGATCGAAATGCATTTTGGATGTCCGTAGAATATTTAGGCTTGAATTGGCGAAATTGAGATTTTGGCATTTTTTGGTTGACAGGTGAGATTTTGATATAGGGGTCGGAATGGAATTTCGAAAGTTTCAGTAGCTCCGTTGTATCATTTTTGACGTGTGTGCAAAATTTTAGGTTATTCGGACAATGTTTGGTAGACTTTTTGATCGAAAGCGGAATCTGGAAGTTCTTGGAATTCTTAGGCTCGAATCCGATGTGATTTTTGTGTTTTGATGTTGTTTTGAGTGTTCCGAAGGTTGGAACAAGTTCGAATGAGGTTATGGGATATGTTGGCATGTTTGGTTGTGGTCCCGAGGGGCTCGAGCACGTTTTCAGATTGATTCCGGGCTATTTTTCCTTCATGTTTCACTACTGTATTCTGCTGATATCTGGTGCCTCAGTATTTCATCGCGTTTGCGAGGCACGTGTCGTGAATGTGTAGTGTATTCTCATGGCAGCAGCAAATTTCTCTTCGCGATCGCAAAGTTTGTCCCGCATTCGTATAGTGTTAGGTAATGACTTCTTCGCGTTCACGTATGGCATATCGCGTTCGCATAGAGTCGGGCTAGGAGCTGGGCTGGAGAGCCTTTCTTCATCGCGTTCGCGAGTCTTGGGACGCGTTCACATAGCTTTGTATCTAGTGTGTATCGCGTTAGCGAGGCTGGTGCCGCGAACACATAGAGCATTTTTGATGGCTGGTGTTTTTGTTCATCGCGAACGCGATGGTTATACCACGTTCGCGAAGATTGTTTTTGATGTCTGGGCAGAATGTTTAAATAGTCATTGTTCGCGATTTTGGGGCTAACTTTCATCATTTTTGGAGCTTTTGAGAAGGATTGAAGATTGAATCGAAGGGAAACACCTGGAGGTAAGATTTTTGAACTCAATACTCGATCCTATGTTAATTCTTACTTGTTTAATCATGAAATATGTAGAAATTAAAGCCTAAAATTGGGGAATTAGGGCTTGAATTTGGATAGTGTAAATTGGGAATTTGAAGGGGCAATTGAGGTCTGATTTTGATATCCTTGGTGTGTATAAACTCGTGAGAGGATGGAGATTCTATTGATGTGACATTTATCGGATTTCGAGACGTGGGCCCGAGGGCCGGGTTTGAGCAATTTTGGGATTTTTGATATAAATTAGATATTTTCGAGTGGGCTTTATTCCTTTAACATATTTTAATGGTATGTTCTAATTATGGCTAGATTTGGAGCATCCGGAGGTCGATTCATGAGGGAAAAGGCATCGCAGGCTAAAGTTGGACCGGATCAAGGTGAGTAATGATTGTAAATGATGTCCTGAGGGTATGAAACCCCAAATTGCATGTCGTTGTGCTATATTGAGGTGACGCACATGCTTGATGACGAGCGTGGTGTCGTGTGTTGTTGGGGATTGTGACTTAGTCCGTCCCGAATGACTATTTTACCACGTATTTGATTGAAATTTATTTGTGAACATCATGTTTTGGGTTGAACGCCATATTTGGGCCTCGTGCCAACTATTTGAACCCTTCGGGGATTTTTATTAATATTTCCTTACTGTTTAAACTTTATATTTGAACTCAGTCATGTTATATTCCACTATTTTCATACTCAACCATGTTTACTATGTTTTAACACTTAAATGATCTTTTAAATGATAATTGGGCTGAGAATCATGTTTTACTACTGCCGAGTGGCTTGTGAGGATTTTTGACTGAGTAAGGCCTAGGGCCTATGTTGTGAGGAAACACTGATCATGATTTGAGGCTGAGGGCCTGCGATATGCACGCCACGAGGTGGCTTGTTGATATGAGGCCGAGAGCCTAGTGATGATGCCACGAGATGACTTGATATTGCGCTTGGGCCGTAAGGGGCCCCTCTAGGAGTCTGCACACCCCCAGTGAGCGCCGATACCTATTGTGATGTGAGATATAGCCCGAGGGGCTGGTATTGTTCTGAGATATTGCCCGATGGGCGGATTTGTTGACTTTGTGCCCGAGGGGCGAACCTTTATGTGTTTATCTTTCTTATTTGTTTTCCATTACCTGTTTAATTGTTGAAAAGGTATTTCCCTGAAGTTTAACTAAACTTAAATGATTTTTTCGTATTTTTACTGGTTTTACTGCTTTATTATAGCCTGTAATGTGCCTTACGTGCTTTTTTATATCTCAGTCGTTTATTTATGATTATTACTCACTGAGTTGGAGTACTTACTTTACTCCCTGCACCCTATGTGCAGATTTAGGCACATCTGGTCCCGCTCCCGAGTGCTGATCTTTCCAGCTCAGGCAGATCCTAGGAGTCTCTAGGTAGCTGTCGGCGTTCGCACCCCAGAGCTTCTTCCCTATCTTATTTCTCCTTGTCTTAGTTTTGTATTGAACTCTATAGACTTTTCTTGATTATTCCGGATTTTAGATGCTCATGACTAGTGACACCCCAGTATCGGGCTGTGTTGAGTTTTATTTCCGCAAACTGTACTGTTAACAGAAAATAACAGAAAATGATCAAAGGATGGTCTAAGAATGAAAGAGGAAATCCATCAAGTCCAGCAGCAGTGGATTCAATAACTTCAACACCTCTAACAGCTCAATCGACTCGGAGAAAACCAGAAAATATAGTGATTGAATAGAAATCAGAAAACCAACTCTAGACTTCCTTCTTCTTCCCTTTTTATGACCTTTTTCCTTGCCTTTTTGGGAGTTCTGAACTTTTTCTAAATATGAAGACTAGAGGTTGAAATCCAGATTTTTGTTTGAATTAAAAAAAATTAGGAGAAGATAGTGAATTCTCTGAAAATCTCCCTCGTTAGTGTGAAAATCAGTCTCAAAAATGAAGAAAAGAGTATGAATTTCAGAGGGTGTTTTCGTGTGTATGAGTGAGTGACATATGGCCTCTTATATAGAGTGTGACAATCTGTTATGTGCACAGAAAAATCAGAGAATAATTCTGGAATGTCAGTCCCTAAAATTTAGAAAAAGCATCTTTTTCAACTAAAAATGGATAGCTGTCCTTGTTTCTAGATAATTCTTTTTATTTCCTACCCTTTAGCTTCTAAAAATCACATTTTTAACCCTAAACTGACCTAATTCTTTCATTTTATTGCACTTTAGCCCTTTTTCTAGAAGCTTCTTCTAAGCTATCAACAAATGAAATTGTTCTCCTCTTAATCAAACCTGTACTACCTTTCTTATGGACAATACCTAGACATCTGGGCTGCCTGGCCAGCAGGCCCAACTCTTCAAGCTAAAAGCCATATCAAATGGGCCTGCCTGTCAATATAGCAGGCCCAACATCTGAACAAAATACACAATCAAATCTACTAGTTGGCTGAATTAATCCTTAATCTAAGAAACAACAAATTAAGAGTTATTACCATCCTACTTGAACTTGAAATTACTAAATGCAGCAAAAAGAAAAAGAAAAGAAAAGAAAAAGCTGAACCGAGAGATGGAATAATAAAATACTGACTAATAAGGAAAGAAGATCGATCTACCTACTGGCTCCAAGTGAAAAGAGTGAGAAGGAAGTCCCCAAAACTGTATAGGCTCGAGCACGAAACGTCCCATTACTGCCTTGAACTTCAGTGGCTTCGAAACAAACTAAAACTAACATAAATTGATTGATCTCGTCAAGAGCAATTGATTCACGTAAATTTGAGCCGAATCGAATCAAATCTCAAAGATAAACAAGAAAAAAAGAAAAAAAACTAGGGTTTCTGG